CTAGCAATAGTCTTTTCTTTGAGAGCACAAAGGTGGTCTGGTGTACCTCCTCAGACCCCAGATGAATCCTCCTCTTCACCCAGGTATCACTATTTGCTTTGTGGGTTGGTGGCTGCCTTTAGGCCTTATGCTAGGCTGGGTCCTTCCCTGACTCACAGGCTGTCCTCCCAAGGTGACGATGGGAGAGAGGAGACCCTTTCTTCTAGAAATCTGCCTGCAGGTGGGCTCCCCTCCCTGGGGCCCCCTCCCAGGTTCTTCACTCTAGCCTTCCTCTCAGTCCATATTCCACTCAACACTGCTATGCTGCACAGGCTCTGCATTGTGTTGGTCACCATGCCTAACCTCCTGCCAGGGGATTGGCCAAGGTCCCTCAAACATGCAGATCTGAGCCTCCTCCCCTCCCCCACCCCTCTTCCAGAAAGTTCTCTAAGTTTCTGGAAGGGTGGGAGGGCTCCAGAAACAGTGACCTTTTAGAGTCTTCCAGCCTGTCCTGTGGTGAACTCTTGCCTCACTCACAGGCTGACTCATCCCAGGCTACTACCCAGCCTCTATGTAACAAAAAAACAATCTAACTAACCTGGAGGGCATTACACTAAGTTTCTGCTTTATCCACTTCAATACTGGGCACTTTCAGCCCCTTCCTGCCCAGGCCAATTTTCAGCTTTAAGTGCCGTCATACTTTGAATGGCAAATGTGCGGTCATGCAACACTGTACTCAAATTAAATTTTTATAATTTTTTTGAGACAGAGAAAGCTTTCTTTTGTTGCTATCTAATTGCCACTGGGTTTTTTATTTTTTTGCTAAACTACCCATAAAAAACCACAAACATTTAAAAAAAGCCCTTTTCTTTGTTTCTGTTATAAAATTATGCAAATAAGTAATTTTTCTTCTTCATTGATGTGCACTAATGAGGCTGCACTGATTTGCACTGATAGGCTGCACTGATTAGCACTGATGAGGTTTTACTGATTTGTACTGATAGGCTGCACTGATGGGCACTGATAGGCTGCACTGATGAGCACTGATGAGGCTGCACTGATGGCCACTGATGAGGCGGTACCGATGGGTAAGCTGCACTGATGGGCATTGATGAAGAGGCACTGATGAGGCTGCACTGATAGGCCGCACGGACATGCTGCACTGATGGACACAGATATGCTGCACTGTTGGGCACTGATATCCTGCACTGATAGGGCTTCACTGATTGAGCTGCACTGATCAGTGCCCTGATTATCAGTGTAAATGTCCCCTGTCACAGGAAAGTCGGTTATCGGCTTTCCTTTCCTCAGACAATGACAGCGCTGAGGAAAGGAAATGTTGATAATTGGCATTTGTTTACATGTGATCAGCTGTGATTGGACATAACTGATCAAATGATAAAGAGCTAACCTGATCGGTGATGTGCTGTATCATGCGCGGCAACAATGGGAGGACATCGTATGATGTCCTGCCAAAACGAGAGCAGTCCTGTCCGGCTGTCATTGTAGGCCAGGCGGGAAATAGTTAAACATCTAGAGCAGAGTTTCTCAACAAGGTTCTCTGGAACTCTAGGCTTCCTCCAGGGTTTGCTAATGATTCATTGAGCAGTGGGGGTATTGGCAGATTGATCTCCTGTGTGATCATCAAAATAAAAAGATTTAATATACATTAAATCCAGTGCAAAGGGTGTCCTTCTTCCAATGATCACTAATTTAGCGTCCTTCTTGCACTGACATACAATAAAAAGAAGCTCTGCATTGACAACCGATGGAAGGGGTCACTGACTACTGTTTTTTTTTTTTTTTTCTAATCATTACACCCTGTTCTAAATTATTATGCAAATTATATTTTTCTCATTTACCCAAATAATTGATGTAAATAACAGTCAGCATAATTCTCATGTTATCAACTATTAAGAGTACAATTCACATTTTATTGAACAAACCTCCTAATGATAACAGTATTTTTTTTAAACATAAAAAACTTACAATGCACTGTTCCAAATTATTATGCACAATAAGTTTCAAAACACTTTATAGGTTGTAAAGAACTGAAAATTGTCATTTGTTGCGTTTGCAGCCCAAAAGCTATTTCAATCAAACTTTTAACAACATTTTAACTTTTTAAACATTTTAACAGGTCACGTTACATTTTAACATAGGACCCCTTATTTGATAGCAGCTTCACAAGTCTTGCATCCATTAAACTTGTGAGTTTTTGGATAGTTTCTGCTTGAATTTGTTTGCAAGATGTCAGACTGGCCTCCCAGAGCTGCTGTTTGGATGTAAACTGCCTCCCACCCTCATAGATCTTTTGCTTGAGGATGCTCCAAAGGTTCTCAATAGGATTGAGGTAAGGGGAGGATGGAGGTCACACCATGACTTTCTCTCCTTTTATCCTCATAGCAGCCATTGATGCAGAGGTATTCTTTGCAGCATGAGATGGTGCATTGTCATGCATGAAGATGGTTTTATTACGGAAAGCATAGTTCTTCCTTCTGTACCAGGGAAGAAAGTGGTCAGTCATAAACTCCACATACTTTGCAGAGGTCATCTTTACACCTTCGGGGACCCTAAAGGGGCTGACCAGCTCTGTTCCCATGATTTCAGCCCAAAACATGACTCCCACCACTGCCTTGCTGACGTCACAGCCTTGTTGGAACAGGGTGGCCGTCCACCAACCATCCACTACTCCATCCATCTGGACCATCCAGGGTTGCACAGCACTCATCAGTGAACAGGACTGTTTGAAAATTTGTCTTCATGTATTTTTCTGCCCAATGCAGCCATTTCTGCTTGTGAGCATTGGTTAGTGGTGGCCGAATAGAAGATTTATGCACAGTTGCAGGACTCTGGAGGACTCTACACCTTGATGTCCGTGGAACTCCAAAGGCACCAGCAAGCTTCAAATATCTGTTTGCTGCTATGTAATGGTATTTTAGCAGCTGCTCTCTTGATCCGATGCATGGATCTGGCAGAAATCTTCCTCAATGTGCCTTTATCTGCATGAACCCGTCTGTGCTGTGAATCAGCCACAAATCTCTTAATAGTGCGATGATCATGCTTAAGTTTTCGTGAAATATCTAATGTTTTCATACCACGTCCAAGGCATTGAACTATTTCACTCTTTTCGGCAGCAGAGAGATCCATTTTCTTCCCCATATTGCTTGAAAATGGTGCTCTGCCTAATAATGTGGAACACCCTCCTTTAGTAGTTTTTCCTTAAATTGGGCTCACCTGCCAATCTAATTATCACAGGTGTCCGAGATTGTTTTCAGTGATCAAAAGAGCCCTGAGACACAATGCCATCCATGAGTTAAACTGAAAAACAAAATATTAAATCTTTGTCACATTTAAATAGAATTTGCATAATAATTTGGAACAGGGTGTATAAATTATAATTTAATTTGAGTATTATTAAGGAAAAAATTAGTGTAATATAATGTAGATCAAAACTATGTTAAAAAATGAACGACTGGTTGTGACAATTGCTAAATCTTGTTTTTAGTTTTACAGTATATCTACAGCTCACTTATTATGCTAATATACTGTAGCACTACCCCTGTAGGGGCCACTAGATAATGCTTGTTCCGGATGATGCCGGGACCCTGTAAGCTTCTCAACCTTATGACAGTCTGGGTTCAGACATGCTTAATCACAGAAATAATGCTCCCAAATTAGTGATAAAGCATATTAGCACAGAGTATAATAAAAGCAAGAGACACAATTCTTTAGCAGCACTGTTATATTGTGCACTGATAAGCATGGGCTTCTATTGACAGCTAAATAGCACACACAATCTAAAAAGGGAAACGTAAAATTAGTGAACGTACAATACCAAGTGGTTAGATATTAATATGTTAACAATGTATATCTATCTAAACATGTTTGGTGAAATTAAAGCAACAACAACCAAAGTGCAACACTGGTTGACGGGGTAGAGATATAGAAACTCCCTTTGGACCACTTACACACTGAGATAGATATCACTGAAATACCCTTTTGGTTTAGTAATGGTAAGCAAGTGTAGAGTGCATCCTTAGCTGTATTAATGGTGTTTCATGACCTGTATGGGAGACAGTTCAAGTTAGGGGTAAAAGTTGTCTTCTGCTAGTGATGCTGGGGCCGTAGACGATTCTGGACATTTATAGGCCAATGATGTTAAGCAGGTGTACAACTGGAGTGCTAAAAGCAAAGGTTTCTTTGTGGCTGTAGTATAAAGATGTAGCATGCAGTGTCTCTAAGCAGTTGAATGGCAGAAAGAGGTTGGGTGTTCACCCACTCACCAGTCCTAATATGGAGGCAGCCTCCACGGAAACAGAATGTGCTGTGCAGGCCCTTTCGTCCCAGCTGAGAGGTGAAGGATGGTCACCCAGCAAGCTGTCAGCTTGGCAAAGCATCAGCAGGAACGTGGAGATGAACTGCAAGGGTTTTTTTCGAAATTAAGATGAATGGCCTAGTGATGGACCCAGCCTAATGATCTGTGACACAGCAAGGCAGATCTGCTGTCTGGAACATCACAGTAACCGGCTAGACCACAAGGGTTCACTGCGACTGTGTGCAGGATGCCAGTTTCAAACCATCCTGTCAGAAGTCCCAAGCCAAAAGACAGAGCCCACCAATAGCAGCCAAATATATAGGCTCTCCCACAATTCCCTTTGCTATATCAGTCTCCTGGGATGTGTAGTTCAAGCTGCACTCAGGAATACAATGCAGTGTGGTAGCGGGACTACAGGTTCCAAGATCCTCTGTTGTCTCTCCAGATATACAGTAGCTCTCCCTCTGCTGACAAGAAGTGATGTAATGTTCTGAATACAGGGCGTACAGTATTTATCAACAGTAATAAATACTGTGTTGTTAAGGAGTGGGCAACTGCCAGCGTCCTTAACAACCAGTTAAAATAAAACACTTTTGTTAGCTACCGCATGCCGGGATCACTACTTAATTACCGCATTCATTTAATGATTTATTTCCCTCTGTGAATTGACTTTAACCCATTGTTATGAGTAAATATATGAGTAAATATATGAGTTATGAGTACGGTAAATACTGTATAATGGTATAGTGAATTGACAGTTTCAGGATCGCATGCGACATTTAGGGAAAACGTGTCCTGAAGAGCTCAGTCTATTTAATTCCTAGTCAAGGGCGGACTGACAACTCATGGGTCCCCTGGGCAATAGTGGATCATGGGGCCCCTGTGTCCTTGCCCACACTCAAAGCACACTCAAAAAAAGCCTATAAAAGGTACCAGGGGCATCTCATGGGGCCCCATACTTACCCTGGGCCCTCGGGCAGTGCCCGAATGCCTGAGTGGTCAGTCCGCCCCTGTTCCTAGTGAAAGGTCTCTGCTCATATCTCTAAAAGGAAAATTAAGATTTGCTACTATAAAGCTCAGTCCATCCTTTATTTGTGCAAGGACTTTGCTTAGAGTTCTAAAGAAAAAAATTTTGTGTCCTCAGATTGCTACAAAAGGTTATGGGAGTATCCCACAGTTACCCTACTCCTATCCAATTTAAAGTTCTTCAATAAAGCATCAGAAAAGCATAACCCTAGACCAGGGGCAGACTGACAACTCATGGGGCCCCCAGGCAATAGGGGATCATAGGGCCCCTGTGTCCTTGCCCAAACTCAAAAAAGCCTATGAAAAAGGTACCAGGGGCATCTCATGGGGCCCCCTACTGACCCCGGGCCCTCAGGCAGTGCCAGAGTTTCCAAATGGTCAGTCCGCCCCTGCCCTAGACTGTTCATTCAGCCAAAGGAGTGCATGTGACTGTGTGCCTGGCTTTGGAGCAACTATGGCAAAAGGCATAAGAGACCTTTAATATTGCAGGTCCCTACAGGGGTACCACTATATTACATTAAAGTAAAAATATAGGCAAAACTTTTTTTTTTATAGAGTAAGGGAGGATTGTAACCCCTGTCAGGTTTTTTTTACCATCTGTGTCCCATTGTGGAGATTTACCTTTACTTCAGATTTTTTTTTTTACCATCTGTGTCCCACTGTGGAGATTTACCTTTACTTCAGAGGGGGGGGAGGTTACCATCTGTGTCCCATTGTGGAGATTTACCTTTACTTCAGGGGGCTATTTTTACCATCTGTGTCCCATTGTGGAGATTTACCTTTACTTCGGGGGGGGGGGGGGGGTTGCCATCTGTGTCCCATTGTGGAGATTTACCTTTAGTTCCTGTCTCATAGCCAAAACAGAAAGTAAAAGGAAATCCCTGCTTATTATGGGAACCCCTTGGGGCCCCCAAGTCATCAGAACTAGTGTCCCCATTGGGCAATTTCTGGGGGCAACCTAAAAGTTGGGATTTTCATTTACCTTCACTTTCCATGATAGTGATAAACAAGACAAATAGGGTGAATTTCCCAAAGTGGGGTCACAAACAAAAATAAAGACTGATGTGTTTTAATCCCTCTCCACTATATTAAAAAAACAAAAAAAAAAAACCAAAACATTTTGCCTTTAGCTATACAGTAGTTTACCGCCTAGCATACAGTTTGTAATTTTTTATATTTTTTGTACTATAGTGTTCCTTTAATAACAGCTCGAAATGTCCCTTATACAAAAAAAAAAAAAAAATTTTCATCCAGCAGTAAACTTGTAACAGTCTATCAAACTGTGTATTGTGCATGTACCTCCCTTGGAACCCTAACATCTGTCACAATAAATGCTTCTCTAATATGATTAGCAAGCTCCAGATCAATGCTGGCTCCCCCACCCATTCTTGTTCTAGTCAGTGCAGGCTGGAAAGGGCATAGACTCTGCGTGGCTTGATAAATGTCAGTGATAATGTAACAGTGGAGGACATAAAATAAAGTGTTGTAATATATTAGCTATCAATCAGTGAGAGACATTACTAAAGCTCAACTCTAGAATTCCCAGCAAAATATATCTCCTAAAAACAGTAAAGTTCTGCAGAGCAGCCAATGAGAGGGATAAGTGGCTGGGTTGACACTGTTTTGGTGTGTTATTACCCATGTATTATTATGCATTGTGTTAGGGCAGTCTATTCACTTAAATTGGCTGACACACCAAAAAACATTTTTTTTAATGCAATGCACCACAAAGCATGGTAGTGCATTACTATGCGTTGTCAAGCAGCCCATGTCTGTTGGTCAGTTGCATTGGCATGCCATTAGCAATGAATGGGAGCCAGCATACCAACATGAAATACACATGCTGCGGTAATACAAAAAAGAATGCATGTGCTCCTACAGTGCAACAGTGTCAACCCAGCCTCATGCTTTTTTTAAACTGGCTAGCCTTGTCTTAAAGTGGAACTTTGGTCAAAAAATTAGATCACTTCAGGCTGGCCCCTTTTGCAAGCATAGAAAACATTAAAAATAAGTATACCGTTTACCACTTGCCCTCCAGAGGATTTACCCTCCTGACCAGGCCATTTTTCGCGGTACGGTGCTGCGTTACTTTACCTGACAATTGCGCAGTCATGCAATGCTGCACCCAAATTAATTTTACGTCCTTTTTTCCCACAAAAAGAGCTTTCTTTTGGTGGTATTTGATCGCCTCTGTGTTTCTTATTTTTTGCGTTATAAAAGACTGTCAATTTTGAAAAAAAAAACTATATTTTTGACTTTTTGCTTTTAAACATGTCCAGTAAAAAAAATTAAAAAATCTAATTTTGTCATAAACTTATGCCAAAATGTATGTTGCTACATGTATTTGCTAAAAAAAAATACATGTAAATTAATTGGTTTATGTGAAAGTTATTGCGTCTACAAATGGCAGTATATACTGGAATTTTTTTTGGTTGCTTTTACTAGTAATGGTGGCAATCAGCGACTTATAGAAGGACTTTGGCGGGCATTCTGACACTGGGGGGGAACTGACTTGGTGTCACTGACATCCCCAGTGACACTAATACAATGACCATTGCAGTGGCGGACTGACCATTTGGAAACTCGGGCACTGCCCGAGGGCCCGGGGTCAGTAGGGGGCCCCATGAGATGCCCCTGGTACCTTTTTCATAGGCTTTTTTGAGTTTGGGCAAGGACACAGGGGCCCCATGATCCACTATTGCCCAGGGGCCCCATGGGTTGTCAGTCTGCCCCTGGACCAGTGATAAGAAAAACACTGACACTGTACTAATGGCACTGGACAGGAAGGTGTTAACGTGTGGGGCGATCAAAGTGTTGACTGTGTGCTGTTTTACTGTGTGCTTTACACTGTAAGCACACTGCTTTGTATGGCTCTGCTATTCAGAGCAATACAAAACAGTGTGCAGGAGCTGACAGGGGAGAGATCTGTGTTGTTTATACACAGGTCTCTCCCCCATCGGTAATACTCGGAGATTGCCAGGTGCCAGCGGGGAATCACCAGCCAGGACCCGGTGATTGACAACTGAGGCCACAAATGGCGATGCGGGTAGGGTGCGTCTCCTACCCAGAACTACAAAATTACATATATATGAGTGATTTTGTGCACCATTGCCTCCCTGTAGCAGTATTTCAGATATAGGGCAACCTGGAAGCAGTTAAAATCAATTAATGCACAGTCTTACCCTGCTCTTCACATGCTCAGTTGTTTCCATTTTCAGCACTGTGCCTAAAATCAGAGCCATTAGAGGCTGATCAGCTGACAGCTTTAAGATCTACTGTTGCTGTTGAAGGAAAATATAAGCAAAAGAGGTGCAAGCGCAAACTCTGCTGCCAGGGAGACACACAAGAGTTAAAGTAATTGTAAAGGGAAAAAAAATCTTTTTTTTTTTTAAATAATAAACATGTTATACTTACCTATTCTGTGCAATGGTTTTCCACAGAGCAGCCCTGATCCTCCTCTTCTTGGGTTCCAAGCCAACAGGGGCATTAATATTAATAATTTTTATTGGGTTATGTATATTCTTTTCTTAAAGAATAATAATCAAACTGTTATAGGTGAATTTCTACTTTTATTTTTGTGACAGTCATTTACATTGATTGCTTCTCCAGAGGTTGCTAGGGGTTCCTTGAGCTGTGGCTGATCGACCACCCAGCTAATGGTGCCTGCATAGTTTTAAGGCTAACACCGCTTGGCAGAGCCAACTTCGTGACATTAATGATTTTTTTTAGCTGTTTGTAATGGTGGAATTCTGCTTACCAACTGTAGGAAGGGCATTCTTCCCACTGACCACCATTGAAGGGGGTCATTCTTTCCACTGATCATCATTGTAAGGGAGGCATTCTTCCTACTGACTATCATTGTAAGGGAGGCATTCCTCCTACTTACTACCATTGTAAGCGGGGCATTCTTTCCACTGACCATCATTGTAAGGGGGGCATTCCTCCTACTTACTACCATTGTAAGGGGGGCATTCTTTCCTCTGACCATCATTGTAAGGGGGGCATTCTACTCAGTGACCAAAAATGTTATCTTCCCACTGATTACCAGTGTAAGCGAGAGCTTTTTTATCCCCCTGACTGACCACCAGTGTATCTGTGTATGTGTATGTGTGTTTGTGTGTGGGGGGGAGCATTCTTCATTCTTCCCATTAACCACCAATGTAAGGGGGGGGGGCATTTTTCTCACTGAACCCTATTGTATGTGGGTATTATTCCCACTACACTGACTACCATTGTATGTAGGCATGATTCCCCTTTGCCAGCATTGTAGGGGACATTCTTTCCACTGACCACCAATGTAAGGGGGCCATTCTTCACAGTGACCACATAAGGGGAGAGGTTTCTTCCAACTGACCACCAATGTAAGGGGGACATTCCCACTAGCCACCACTGTATGGGGGGCATTACTCCTACTGGCCAATACTATAATGGAGGGCATTCTGCACACTGACCATCTCTGTAAGGTGGGTATTCTTCCCACTGTCCACCAGTGTAAGGGGCATTCTTCCCACTGACCAACCATGCAAGGAGGGAAATTTTACCACTGACCACAACTGCAAGGGGGTCAGTCTTTCCAGTAGCTACCAATGTAAGGTGAATTATGCCCACTGATCATCAATGGGATGTAAGGGGGGGGGCATTATTCCTGCCAACCACCACTATAAGGGGGCATTCTTCCCACTGACCACTACTGTAGCAGGGTGGATTGTTCCCACCGACCACTACTGTAAGAGGGGGGACTCTTCCCACCAACCACTATTGTAAGAGGGGAGATTCTTCCCACAGACCACTACTGTAATAGAGTGGTTTCCTCCCACTGACCACTATTATAACAGGATGGATTCTTGCCACTGACCAATACTGTAAGAGGGGGATCCTTCCCACTGACCAATACTGTAAGAGGGGGATTCTTCCAACCGACCACTACTGTATAAGGAGGATTCTTCCCACCGACCACTACTGTAAGAGGGGGGATTTTTCCCACCGATCACTACTTTAACAGGGTGGATTCTTCCCACTGACCACTACTGTAAGAGGGGGATCCTTCCCACAGACCACTACCTTAAGAGGGGGGATTCTTCCGAATGACCTCTACTGTAAGAGGGAGCATTCTTCCCACCAACCACTACTGTACCAGGGTGGATTCTTCCCACTGACCACTACTGTAACAGGGTGGATTCTTCCCACTGACCACTACTGTAACAGGGTGGATTCTTCCCACTGACCACTACTGTAACAGGGTGGATTCTTCCCACTGACCACTACTGTAACAGGGTGGATTCTTCCCACTGACCACTACTGTACCAGGGTGGATTCTTCCCACTGGCCACTACTGTAACAGGGTGGATTCTTCCTACTGACCACTACTGTAACAGG